GCAGATCTCACAAAAGTCAGGCCTCTGTCAAAATTTGTCATGGTTCTTCCTCGAGAAAATGCAGTGCCCTTACAGGATGTTGAGCCAATATTAACTCAGAAAGTTTTCATTACAGTTCCTAAGCCAGTCCATCTTTTGTTTTACACACCCTAGAATGTACTAAGAGTTCAAGGTCTTAGCCTCTTCTTTGCAAAGTCAATGCTGTGTGAAACTACTGGCTGGTCATTTGTTCTTTCAGTGATCAACTGTATAGTGAGTATCTATCTATCTGTTAGGCCTGTGCTAGGAAACTGGGAATGTTGGAAATGAGCTTAAACCCAGTACGGTCTCTGTCTTCATGGAACTTAGAGTCTAGTTAGGGGAGGTAGACATGGATCAAAGAATCACTCAGACTAGTATAAAATTGCAACCGTGCAGGGCAATGAAAGCCTGGAAGAGGGGATTTGACAAGGAGCCCGGAGAAGGCTTACTGGAGGAAATAACACAGTTGGGATCCGAACACAGAGTAGGAATTCAAGCAAAATGAGAAGGGAAAGGAAGGGGAAGACTGCACGAAGACCTTTGTGGGCAGGAGCGTGGCAAATACGAGAGGCCGGGAGAAGGCAAGAGTGCCGGGGTTGAGGTGGTGAAGGAGAGTGGGGTAAAAGGGAAAGATGGAAAAGAATTTTCAGGTGAGATCATGAAGGGACTTGGCTCTGTTAGAGAGCTTTCTCTTCATTCTCATACAAATTGAAAACATTTAAGAGTTCTAACAAGTATTTGCAGAGGGAAGAGAGGAGAAAGATGTAGGTAGACCAGTTGAATACTTTCTGTGTTGCAGCACCTAAGGTCATGCCCTGGTCTAGTGTAGCGGTTAAAGGGGATGGGATAAATTCAAGAGATACTTAGAAGGCAAAATCAAAAGAATGAGGAGTTTGTGTAGGATATAGGGAATGAGGGAGGAAGGGTCAATCCTAGTTTTCTGACTTCGCACACTGATATGTGATGGTTCCTGTGCAGGCAACCGCACAGGAGAGCAGGTGGGTTGGAGGGCGACTACAACCCTGGCCGCAGATGTACTGGGTTTGTGACACCCATAGGATAGATAAGAAGCTAGGTGTCTGAATCCAAATCTTAGAGGTACAGCTGGAGGTATAATCTGGAAGCCTTTTCCATAGAGATAATTGGAGCCATGCATGTCGATGAAATTATCTAGGGAGGCTGTGTTTGAATAAACATGAAATGACAATGGTGGTAATTTTCTGTGTCTAAATTTGTGTCTTATTTGTGTCTAAATTTCTTTTCTTTTTAAAACCTTTATTTAATGTTTATTTTTGAGAGAGAGAGAGAGAGAGAGCAAGCGCACACATGTGGGGAAGGGGCAGAGAGAGAGGGGGACAGAGGATCCAAAGCAGGCTCTGTGCAGACAGAGGAGAGCCCGATGCGGGGCTCAAACCCACAAACTGTGAGATCATGACCTGAGCTGAAGTGGGTCACTCAACTGACTGAGCCGCCCAGGTGCCCCCTGTGTCTAAATTCCTTGGAAGGATTCAAAACAAAATTCTGGTCGCTTCAAGTGATCATTCACATTTATCTACCTACAAGAAGTGCTTGACAATGTCAGAATTTTCAACAGCCGAGGAAAAGTGAGGTTATAAGAGAGGATAGACTTGCTATGTTATCACGTTGAGTAAAGAGTAAAAATCAAGCCTAAATACTTCTCTGACTGGGATAAAGCCATGGCATAAATCAACTAAGCCTAACAAAACATTGTACTGCTTTGAATTGGGTTAAAGTAAAAAAAAAAAAAATTGTTTTTTGAAAAAAATTATGTTAGGAAATTTGTTGAATCACATGGACAAAAACCTTAGACGTCTGTGCCACAATCAAACAGAATTCTCTTGGCTGTCTTACTTCCCTGCTAGGAATAAAATCTACTTTTGTGCATGTTTTCACATTCATTAGTAGTGAATTCAAATACTAGTTGCCTATCCTACTATATAGTGTATTAAATTGAAGTTCAGTAGAAAGTATGTGACCTGTAAGAGACCCGGGATGAATCTAGAATTGGGGAGATTTATTTTGGGAAAGTGTTCCTTGAATGGGGAATAAACAGGGCTGTGGTTAGAAGGTTCTCAGTATTTGCATGTTGGAAAAGATTATGCATTTCTTATGAATCACTAAGTACACGTTGCAAAATAGAGAATAGTTAAATGTTAAAATCAGTATTTTTCAATTACTCTAATTACTGCAGCATACAAATCACAAAATCTATTGACAAAATATGTAATTCTAGATTAGTCCTTCACATCACAGTAGCTACAGCACTGAACAGAATGTTGTACGTATTTTAACTTTTAGATTGTCTCCTGGCCCTGATTTTAATTGGCTCAGGGCTCCCTACAGAAAGGGCTGTTCGTCCTCGCTCATTCTTGTTCCCACCTTTGTAGTTACCCGCGTTCCTGTGCGAGCTCTGGGACGCGTGTTTGACCCACGATGCCGAGGGAAAGTGTTTGTGCTAAACTCCAGTTTTTATGTGGTGAAAATTCTAGTAAGGAAATTGTTCACGAGAAGTTTAAAAAGTAGGAAGGAAGAAAAATGAGGGCCTAGCTCAACTCATGAACTGGAGTACTCACCTTCAGAATCTTCAAGTTGGCATTCAGGTGGCCAAAGGACAGACCTGGGCTTGGGGCCCCCTTCCCTGTGACTTGTTAGGGTGGACCAGGACCTGGAATGAGATACTTTCCCTCGGTTAAGATCTCGACACCTTCCAGGAGAGGAAGGCACTCATGTAGTGGGAACAGCAGCCAGGCACGCTGAGGAGTAGCCCCCGGGGGTGTTTGCGAGCACGATTTCGCTCCACGTGTGGCTTGGATTTATCACTGATGAGCTCGTGACTGCTCCGTGTGGAGAAGACATTTCCCTCCTTGCGAAAGGCTTTGCTCCTGACCCGGGTGAATCAGGTCTCACTAGGCCATCTGTATGTGCTCTGCCTGTCTGCTGATCTGGGTGCAGCTGTTCCCTTGGCGACCAGACAGGCTGTTGGGCCCATGTGAGAAGAGAAACCTGTGCCTAAACCGAACCGCGGTCCCAGCAATTCCAAGCTGTGTGAAATTGAGTAAGTACCTTAACGTCTCTGTACCTCATTTTTCCCATTTAAATAATGGGGGTATTCATAGAACTCATCTCGGTGTAGCTGTGAGGATTTAAAATGACCAAATGCACGTAAAGTACGTAGAACAGTAAGTGTTTAGTGTTGTTACTGTTACTATTATTTAGTTCATGCTAAATCGGAAGCCCTGATCAGCGTTGATTCATATTCATTATGAAGCGTCCATTTGCATTCTGTTAGTGAGCACGGAATCCCAACCATGCGATACACGTTACTTGAAAGAAAAGTCCTGTGACAGACCCCTTTCCAAATCATTCTTCACTGCAGTCCCCGAGGCTCCTTCCTCCCACACCTGGTCTTACCCCCCAACACCCGATCTCGTCTCTTCCTTCTCGAAGTCTCCTAGGCTCTACCTCTGGCACTGGGCGCTAGACCAATTACGGAAGTCATGATTTTCAGGAGGGCAGTGTGTGGTGGGTGGGTGAGTGTGTATGTGTCACATAAAGGAACAAAGACAAGGCTGTTTTATGCAAACATTAAAGCAATTATGTCACACGGTGTCACTGTTGTAGCTTTTATAATTAGTGGAACCCTCGGAAGGAATATGGCGACCACCAGCCAAGAGGCCAAATTTCACAGGGTGCAGGGTTGGCTCCCGGATCCAACCCAGCACAGTCGGCAGTGATTGTCCCTTTCCAACTGCAACCTTTTCATTCTGTTGTAATTATCATGCTTTTACGCTGCTGTCTGAAGTGCTCATCCTATGAGAATGATTTTATAAGAAAGGAGCCTGGGAACGATGTAGTGGTGTCTCTTTTCCTTAAGAATCTTTTTTTCTTCGTTCAGAAGTAGTTCCAACTGTGATTAAATAAATCTATTTAAGTGTAAACATGCAAAATGTAAAGCTTCTCTTCCTGTGTCCTCCCTTCAAGTCACATCACTTTCTGCTGACTAAGTGCAATTTATTGTGTTCTTCCGTCAGGACATAATTCAGTGTGAGACTCGGTGTGTCCTTTCTCGTGGTGACTTTTGTGTTTGCGGTGCTTTCCTGGAGGAAATTCACTGTAGACTGCTGTACGCGACTGTTGGTTTCATTTTGACGACTTGAAAAGGCTGTGTTTAGAAGTCAGGTGCAAGGTGACTATGTAAATTAGAAGTCAAGTGCAAGGTGAATATTTCAGTTAGGAGTTGGGTGCAAGGTGAGTAATGAAGTATGCGGCCTTAGCAGTGGATCTAAGACTTGCTTTGCGGAGTCCTCTGCTTTGAAGGCTTGTTTCTCCATTTCCTCACAGAGTTTCTGAGAGAAAGGGAAACCCTTCTGTCGTCAGCTGTGCTGCTTTGTTACTCTGAGAGACGCCTTTCTGAAATGGCCGCTTTGGAAACATCCGCTGGGTTGATTGCATAGAGGGGTACCAAGGACAGAGAAGGTCTAGTTCTAAAGGGATTAAAAAAGACACATTACTTTTTTTATATCCTCTGGCATAATTAATTCATTTCAAGTATTCATATTAATACAGTGTGTCGTTCCTTGTTCTCTCTAGACTGGAACATTCCCTCTATCCTGAAATGTAATAAGCATGTGGTCACTTGCAACGTGTCTTCTTCTGATTCCAATCTTAATTATTATTCTAGCTTCACTTTAAAAATTTTAAGGAGTAGAAGAGGAACTTCACCAACACGTAGCATCTTTCTATTCAAGAGCGCTACCCAAGAAAAGGTGTAACATACTGCTTCTGGATGTGCTTCCTATTGGTTCCCGGTTGGAATGTCCGGTTTTTAGGACCAAAACTGTAGAGCAGAGGGGACTTGAGATGCTTCAGAGCTGAATTTCAGCCGAGGCTATTGTTAATTTCTCATTTTATTTTACTTACCAGCACACGAAATAACCAACTTGTTTTGTGCCTTGCAGCTATATTCACTTCAACCAAATAGAAACGCTACAGCCGGAGACCTTTGGAGACCTTGTGAAATTAGAAAGACTGTAAGTGTTGACTGTTTCCACGTCCTTTGCTTCTGCTCTACTTCTGTTGTTTATACGTGTTGACTGCCCGGGAGATCAGGGCATTTTGTTGTAAGCCTAAGAAGCAGGGCCTGCGCCTTTGTGCTATAAGATACAGTCACTGTGAGACAGTCTATAGTTTGAAATCCATGGAGAAAAGATGAATCACCCAATTAAAAATAGGGCAAAAGCGATGAGCAACATTGTGCGAAGGAGGTAAAACCACTTTGAAAATTTGAGGCAGCATTGACCACAGTTAACCATACACAGGCCCTGTGACCTATCGATCAGTCCCACTTCTGCTTCTAGACACAACAGATGTGCACCAGGAGGCACATTCTGGAATGTTTACGGCAGCATCGCTTCTAACCCCTCCACCCTAGAACTGACGCAAGCACCCGACAACAAAAGAAGAGAAATAGATTGTCGCGTATTCGTAACCCAGGAGACTCTACAGCACATACGAGTCTCAGAAGCGTTCTGAAACAAACAAACAAAAAAATCAAACATCGAAAATCGCATAGTCTGATTTTGTTTTTAGAAGAAATTCAAAAACAGCAGAAACATGCATGGTAGCTAGAAGTTAGACAGTGGTTATCTTTGGAGAGAAGGAAGTGATGGCGGACAGCAGGAGGGGGCTTCTTCAGTGCTGACAGTTCTGTCTTTTTCTGTTTTCCCTGGATGGTAACTACACAGCTGCATTCACTTTTGGGGAAGTCATCGTGCTTACACCATGGTGTGCACACACTTCCAGACGAATGTTATATTTAGTACAGCTTTATGCGATAACAGTAACAAACCCAGAGGACACTTGGACAGCCTTCTCTTGTGTTGTTTTTTACCGGATGAAGATGCTCTAACCCTTAATCTCTTCTGTCCCTTATAGTACCAAACTGGTTGTGATTTTAGTAGAAGATATGGTATTTTTTTAAAGAATAAAAAAATGCAGAATGACAGAGCTGCACTGAATCAGGAATCTGTTTGAATTAAATATATTGGGAAAAAATTGGAAATTAGGAGTTTGTAGGTTCCGAAAAGGATGCCCTTTCATAGGGATACAGGAAATAGACCCTTAAAATGGAAAGATAAAGAGAGCTAATCAACTGCTTTTCCCATGCCATTACTCTAACCTTATCTGCATATGGAAGTACGGGAACTGTAATGCATGAACTTGCCTTGTTTGGATTTGTGTGTTTGTTTTGCTGAAGGAATGAAACGGAGGAGGAGAGGGAACTGGGTAGGAGAGCGTTCTGTACCGCTTTCTTGTTCTACCAGCTGTGAGCAGTGAGTTCAGCCTTGGCAGATTTCTCCTTCTCAAATACGAGACTGAGGGAGGACAGGCTTCCCTCTTTAGTTGCCCCTCCACACAAAATCCATTACTTTTCTTCTGTCCGGTAATTTTTTCCCCTTAGCGTTTTTTGCCACAATCTCTTATCTGTTGGTGACTTTTCACATTCTGTCCTCTTGACTGGTATGGATTTATTTATTGTATTGGCCATCTGGGCTATTATTTCAGTAGAGTTCTGAAAGAGAATGAGGCAACTTCGTATGCCTAGCCCACTATTTTGAGTCGGCATTCTTCTGCCTATAACTTTGAAGCATTTGTTGAAATGACATTTTAAATGTTAAAATTAAATGATCGTATTAAGGTATTTCTCACTCTAAACAAATTCAGGCTGACTTTGCCTGTAACCACACGTCTGCAAGTAATGTGCATTCAGCAGCAGCGGCAGCAAGAGGAAATCTAGAATAGTTCTTTATTTATAGGCTTTGATAAAAGCCCCCATGTGTTGCATTCATAAATAGCAACCCCTACCACTTGTGTGGAACGTTCTTTTCAGTGGAGGCATGATGCCAACGCAGACAAGTGAAGACCTGTGTCTTCGTCTTTTCTATGAAGAGGAGAATTACTTTGAAAATCCTGGCCCTTTACCAAAGTTAGATTTTTCTCCAGTAGATACAACTTCTCTTTAAACAGTCATAAACTATGTATTATTACATCACCAAGCAAAAGACTCTATATGCATTTGGTGAAGCCACATGGATTTAAACCGGTAATTGAGAGCTTGATGCACAGGTAGAAGATTGCAGTCATGCCTCTGGTGAAGTGTGCAGAATTCTGATTTTTTGTCTAATAATTCACGGTTGCTATGGAAGAATGATACCGTTTCTCCCCAGTGCCACTGGCCAATTGCACAGTGGTGAGATCTTGGACGTTCTTCATAAAGCTGGCTCCTTGTATTTCTTTTTTATGTTCATACTGACCTCAGCAAGCCATAGTTTGTATTTCGCCTGCTTTTTGTTTGGAATCTTTAGTGAATCTGTCTTTAAAAATGGGGAAAAGAGATCAAGAGGAAGAAAACCTTGATATTCTGTATCCATAAAGAACATTCACGGTGACTGAGCATACATTTGGTTTTATTGGTTTGGGGAGAATACCAGTTTGATACAACATCACACTAGATGCTTTACGGAGTCAACCGGCCTGGAAAAATGTCTTCTTTCTCAGGCATGCACCTCACTAAAGCCAAGGCTTTCTCAAGAAGCTTTCTCAAGGTGTTAGGAGCTGAACAGGAGGTTTTCTCTACTTCTTGGAAGGCTCTTGGATTTCCAATGGATATATCTTTAAACGCTAACGTTAATTTCAGGCAGAAGATACATTTTTCTCTCCTCAGAACATTAATGTTGAAAAAAAACCTCATTCATGGCTTGGCTTGTTTGATAGCATGTATATTTCTGTCACAGCAAAGAGATCAGTCTTTGTATCAATTCCAGTCCAATGGATACTGCTAATGTTTTTAATCAAGTGTCTTTAACGGAAAACATCAGCGGCAAATAATTAGACAAACTTTCCAATACAGGAGGAGGTGCTTTTTAGGACTTGTTGGGACTAAAGCGGTCAAAGTGATACTTCCACAAGCAGAACTCAACACATCATCTGCAAAGGCATTTTGAAAATTAACTTCAGGGAAGTTGGAAAGAAGAAAGAAAAGGCAGCACAGGCATGCATCGTCGCACCCCTGCTGCACAGGACTGCTGAAATAGTGCTTCTGTTTTAGTACCGTCACTGACATAGTAGTCTAGGAATTCTCTAATAACAGTAATTATAATAATAGTAGCCCCATTTTATAGACAAAGGAACAAATAGTTACAGAAATAACAAGTGGTGATAACACCTGATTCGGGAAGCCCAGTAATATGTAAGACATAAACTAATGTTGAAATGACAGCAATTTGGACATTTTCATCACTGTACAAAATTAAGGAAAATTGTTGACAGTGATTTTTCAATATTTACATACCTTGCTTCCAAATCTGTGGTGGTGGAAATGTTATGCTTTTTTCTTGATTTGATTTGCCTGTTCCACAGTTAATTCTGGTCTACTTGGCTTGGAAAATAGATAACATCTTTCGATCTCTGATTATTGATGCAATTTGCAGCTTTTTAAATACGTTAAGAGAATAATCAGCAGCCTTTTTACTGTTGTTATCACAATGCACTATGCTAGTTATAAATAGTCAAATAAGCTTGTAGTCCAGCAAACACACACACACACACACACACACGCGCGCGAATAAGTTGTCCAAATTATTTGGCTTTCCCCAAGGTTCAGCTGAAATGTACTACAAGCTTTTTCTCCATTGTGAAATTCTATTCCAATATCCCCTGAGATATGAAAATGGATTAGGGCTTGTGGGGATTTAGAATTACTCTGTGACTTCCATCCATACACCTGTCCTAACCTGTTTACTATTTCTTCTCTAGTCATTGCTTCTTAGTTTGGTGAATTGGGTGGGGCAGAGGATGATGAGTATAAGGAACTAAAATAGTAAGGATCAGGAGAAAATTTCTATCTATTCAGGTGTGCTTCAAATTTCCAAAACCATAAAAACATTTTGCTCCTTCTGACTCCCTGTTACCTTAATCCCTAATAGATAATTAAAATTCAGCTAAAAACATACATTGCTAGGAAAACATGGCCAGATGACCCTATTACACTTTGAGATAGGAGCACTGGTCATGAAGTAGGACTCAGAGGGAGGCTGGATGTAGCTAATTGTTAACACTTTCTACATATTATTCAGTTATTTGTGCCCATTTCCTACAGTCTTCAGAAATAAATGGCATGAAGGGATGCCTGGGTGGCTCAGTCGGTTGAGTGACTGACTCTTGATTTCAGCTCAGGTCATGATCTCAGGGTCGTGGGTTCAAGTCTTGCATTGGGCTCCACACTGAGCATGGACCCTGCTTGGGATTCTCTCTGTCTCTCTCTCTCTCTCTCTCTGTTTCTCTTTCTCTCCATCTCCCTCTACCTGTCGCTCTCACTCTTTCTCTCTAAAAGAAAGAAATGGCATGGAGCTCTCCTCTGTTTTGCGGATTATTGTTTTGTCTTCTTTTCATACACATGCCCTTGGTTGAATATGCTTTCAGTGGTGCTAGTGAGAATGGGAGCCCAGCTGTCATCTGCTAGCCCTAATCTCTCTCGTCACAGTGCAGGGAGGTGGTATGGCCGGGCAGCGCTCTCAGGGAGCCCAGACCCGTGCTGGACTGACCAGGTGAAAGGAGAGGTAGAAATCCTGTGGCATGGGCCTCCTGCGTTGCCTCTATCCATCACCTCTGGTGATGGAACCTAACTGGGAAGAGGAAGCCAGGGTCAAAAGAGCCTGGGGACGAGCTGCTTCTGTGATCTCCGCGGGCTGTGGGCATGGATTTGAAAGCGAACACGCAAACGGTTGGCTGAGCCACGGACCAAGCGGCACCCAATGGGACTGGAGTTTAGCTAAACCGCAGGATCCGGTCAATCATGGTTTGCTTGCAGCCCCCTGCAGTCATACATACACTACTGTGCCATTTGTTTTGATGAAAACATTCTCTATGTTGATTTCCTGTGTGTTTAAAGACTTCCTTTTGTGGTTTTCTCTTTAGCACTTGTAATCCCTAACTAACACAAAAAATTAAAAGACAAAAAAAGAACACGGATGAGAAAATACCAGTGTAGCGGTAGAAACGTGCATGTAAGTCTTTAAAACGACGCTTGCATATTTGCCTTTCCTCACTGAGATATTTTTGAAAATGTACTATGGAGTCACAGTTAGACTTTTTGAAAAAGTCTCCTAAATCGTCCTTACTGTGCTGCGATTAAAAGTTACCCTTTGTTTTTCAGGTTTTTGCATAACAACAAATTATCGAAAATCCCGGCCGGGAGCTTTTCTCATCTGGATTCATTAAAGAGACTGTAAGTGAAAGGAAGCGTGCAAACACAGAAACCGTATGATTTCCCCCCAAATAAATAAACCCCAAGCGATGATTTGCCTTTGTCTCCTTCTGCCGTGAAAGATCATTGCAATTCTAGCGCGGTCGAGAGAAAACGGTTTCGTTAACCGCACAGCGATAGAGGACACAGATAGTCTACTGAGCTTTTCATGTATTCCCTTAGAAGTGACATTCAAAAGGAATATTGAAGACAGAACTTTCCTCGGTTCTCAGTAATTTCCTTGCTGGTCAAATCTAAAGGCTCCCAAGACTTCCTTTTCCTTTCGCTTTTATTTAAAAAAGAGATGTGAGAAGTTCCAAAGAAAGTCTGACTCCTCTGGCCAGACTTCACAAGCTGGGCCTCGTTGCACGGATGGTTACGGGTACAGTTCATTTCTTCCGACACTAAACAATTCAGAGCGAACACCCCAATCCTGTTTTAGTCTCCAGCTGCCTCCCTTTTCCGTCTGCCTCTGTGAATCACTTGCCTTTACCCTGATCTGTCTCTGCACCGTGCTCTCTGGGTATACTTCTGCATCGTTGATGGATTTCTGGTTGTTATTTTTCCCCTGGGTGAGTTCCAGTTATCAGATAAAGATCAAATGTCCCGCTTCCCGGTCCCAGTTGGAGGGGACACGGGGGCAGACTCACAGAGGTTTCTCTCTCAGCCTTCTTGGGGGCCACGTTGTTGCTGTTGTCTTTCTGGTGTGATGTGCCCAGGTCCAGGTTGACAGGCAAGGGAAGGTGAAGATTTAAGTAGGTATCAGAACACCGAGGGAGAGAAATGTGTGTTGTACTTGGTGCCTGGAAATCACACTTGGAATCGCTGTGTTTCAAGGATCACGAATCATCAGGAGGAACGTTCATCCAGCCCCAGTCCGTTGTTTCGGGTGTTCGTGCTCTGTTTTCTGTCATGGCAGTTCTCAGCGCAGATGCTTCCTCCCCCGTCTTTTCTCCTCGGGCTGTGCTCTTTGTGCTCAAACCCACCAAAGCCTTGCTTGGTGATTCTCTTCACCTGCCAAAGTCTTCCTTCTCAGAGCTGGTTGCACTGAGCCGTTTGGAAAAGTACGCGCGTGGATTCTCATTTGCTGTTGTAATAGACTTTGTCTTCTAGAGCAGTTTCAGGTGCGCAGAAAGTAGTGAGACTTCCCACGTACCCTCTGTCCCCACACACAGCCTCCGCCACTCTCATCCTCCACCAAAGTAGAATAGCTGTTAAAATCCACACGTCGGGATCACCCAAAGTCCGTAGCACGTCTTAGGGCTCACCCTTGGTACGATGTCGTATGGGGTCAGATGAATGTGTAACGATATATAGCATATGGAACGTCGTATGGAATATTTTCACTGCCCTAAAAGTCCTCTGTGCTCCTCTGTTCATCCCCTCGTGCCCGCAGCCGGCTCCATAGTTTCATCTTTTCTCGGATGTCATATGACTGAAATCTTACAGCATTCAGCCTTTTCAGATGAGGTTCTTTCATTTAGTAATAGGCACTTCAGATGTCTGCATGTCTTTTCATGGCTCAATAGAGAATTTCTTTTTAGTCTTGAGTACTAGTCCATCGTCTGGTTGTACCACAGTTTGTTTCTGCCTTCACCGGCTGACGGACACGTGTTTGCTTTCAAGTTTTGGCCATTAGAAATAAAGCTGCTAGAAATATCCACGTGTAGGGTCTGAGTGGACATAAGCTGCACGTGCTTTGGATACATACAAAGGAGCGTGGGTCCTGGATCTTGTGGCAAAAGTATATCTGGTTTTTGAGAAATTGCCTGGCTGTCTTCCGAACTGGCTGTACCAATGTGGTCCCACCGGCAGTGAGAGGTCACCGGCATTCAGGGTTGTCAGGGTCCTGGATTTGGGCTATTCCGATTGATGTATAGTGGGATGTTGTTGTTTTCCACATTCTTGGTTTTGAGTCATATCTGGAAAGTGAAAAATACCAAGATATTTTGCAACAAGGCAATAGGATGCTTTATTCTGGTAGTGGGAGGAATATGTTTTTTACTTCCCTTCTTCCTTTTCTTGTTGGATTTGTTATACCATATGTGGTTAGAGTCACTGTCTTTGTATATTTGCGGTTATAATTCCCATTAAATGTTTCTTTTCTACATAGATTTCTACCTGGGTATCATTCTTGACTTCTAAGACTCTCAGAAAGTCTTGAAATGCTAAATCCCTTGTTTTTTCCCCTAATCTCTTTGTGCTATTCTTTCTTATTAAATTTTAGTAGCAGCTTTTTTGTTCTAACCTCTCACATTTAATGAAACGCATTCACTCCATTGCTGGAACACACACAGAGAAGCAAATACTAATCAGGAAGCAGAGGGAGACGTTATTTTACAGTGATGTGCCATTATGTATGTTCTATGCATGCACTGTCTTTATTTCAAATGTTTTAAGCCACTTTTATTTATTTATTTAACATAATTTATTGTCAAATTGGCTTCTATACAACACCCAGTGCTCATCCCCACAAGTGCCCTCCTCAGTGCCCATCACCCATTTTCCCCTCCCCCACCCTTCAACCCTCAGTTTGTTCTCTGTATTTAAGAGCCTCTTATAGTTTGCCTCCCTCCCTCTCTGTTTGAGACAATTTTTTTTTCCCCATCCTTTCCCCCGTGGTCTTGTGTTAAGTTTCTGAAGATCCACGTATGAGTGAAAACATACGATATCTGTCTTTCTGTGACTGACTTATTTCACTCAGCACAATAGCTTCCAGTTCCATCCACGTTGTATGTTGTGTTGATGTTGTGTTCATAGATGGATGGTTCACTGGTCACTTCTGGTCATGGTAAACTGACATACAGACGATTTGAGCCAGCTCTTCCAGGGTTCATGAGATCTTGGTCAGGCTGAGATGGTGAGCCCTGGTATCTGTTATTCCAAATCCTCAAACCTGTGCCTATCCAGGCTGTAATTTATACATGAAAATCAGAATACAGGAAAGTAACTGAAGGCTAGTAAATAAGCTGTGTGTACCATCAAATAGATTCCATCTTCAACAATGAAGTCTCTCAACAATTGAAAGAGGGTCACTGCATTGGTCGCATCTGGGAGTCCAAGAAACCTGTGTGGCTCACATGTGCCCTATCAGCACTGGGAGCCGTAGGGGACACCGGCTCGTGGTTTCCCCGTCTGTACCATATCATTTCTAACTCATGACGACCACATTCCTTCCAAGAGTACTGAGAAAGTTAATGAAATTCTTTTTAAAAAGTGCTTTTGGATCTTTATGTGAAAGGGATTATGTAAGCACAAGTGATATATTACTGTATTTTCAAATAGAAAGATTTGAATTTGAACTTACCCCGTGCTTTTTTATTCCCTTTCAAGTTGCCCTTTGAGCAGTGAACAGACCCAAGTGGGTAATTATTTTACTGTTGTGATTCTTGACTGAATGCTATCAAAGAGAAGTTGTCTTTGATTTAGCACATCGGGTGTGATATTTGATGTAAGAGAACCTTCAAAATAGAGAACAGTGAAATGGCAGTGATTTTAAGTGTATTACTAATAAGTATAGGCTAATAAAGATTAAGACAACCCACTTTTATTATTGATAAAATGGTGTTTTATCTAGTTTTATCTAGTGTTTTATTTTTCAAAATTTATGGCTTTAAATGATAGGCTATGTTTTAAGTAGTGCTTTCTCAGTATAAATTTGGAAACACTCAACTTGTAAAGCCTCCCCAAATGGATTTTTGTGCAAAAATATAGTACTATATGTTTTTTCACTACCATAAAAATTCTAGTACTATATGTTTTTTCAAATATAAAGGAGGTTTTTTTTAATGTTTATTTATTTTTGAGAGAAAGACAGAGCATGAGCAGGGGAAGGGCAGAGAGAGAAAGAGACACAGAATCTGAAGCAGGCTCCAGGCTCTGAGCTGTCAGCACAGAGCCCGATGAGAGGCTCAAACTCACGAGCTGCGAGATCACGACCTGAGCTGAGGTCGGACATTCAAGCAACTGAGCCACCCAGGCACCCCTCAAATATAAAGGAGTTTTTTAAGTGGCAAGTGAAAAAAGAATAACCTATAGTTGTTTTATTCATGTTTTGTATCCCTGCTATGGATGAATATTTTAATTGAAGTCAGTGGTCATAAAAAGAAGAAATGAAATCTTATGCTCTAGTGTTGTTAAAACACACAGGCATGAGGACACATATGGGAAAGAGTGGATCGCTGATTAATGGAGGGTTGTTATGTAAGCAATGATGACATCAGGGAAATGGAACATTCAAGAATGGTGGGTCCCAAGGGAATTGTTGATGTCCTGGCTTTGGTTCAACTCAGAAATCTCATGGTGATACTAAAGTGAGAATTTACACCTTAATATTTAACAACAAACTGCTTTTGATAAAATTACCAGACATTAAACTCAAAACATAAATCAGAATGAACTTTGGGCTCCTTCATGTTGAAATAGATCAGTTTTTTAGCAAAGTAGCTGGTTCAGTAAATCAGTCAGTGACAAGGAGCAGACAAGGACACTGAACCCAATACCTTGCTGAACAAGTACTAGTCAAGTGTTACGTCTTATACATCACTCTGGACAAGGCTGAAAGTATTCTCCGTTTCAGTTATGGCTTTATTTTCTCTGTTTAGTGTGAAATCTTGATGGAAGCATTAAGCAAATAAAATCCATACCATTCAGTAACCTTTTAATGAATGTGAGACTTTTTCCCCTTAATTTTAACTATTTAATGCTGCTAAATATAGCTAGTTTTCAATGTAATACGGTTCGAGTACAATATAACAATCTTATGAACGAAGCATCTACAATACACTTCACAAAATTATCAGACAATAAATCTTTCTTAAATTTATTAAAAAATGTACAATTTTCTCGAATTATAAATTCCAAATCTAGAGAAGAACATGATTTTTTTTTTTTTTTTTACTTTTAGCTTACTATTCCCAGTAACTTGCTACTAATACAGATTCCTAAGTTAAAATAGCTAGGTGATTTTTAATTTTATATGCAAATTGATCCTTTAAATTCCTTTGTTTCCCAAATGATTTTAAAGGACATTTTATACAATTATTAAAAAATATAGCATTTTTAAATTCTTAAAAATCACATAAAGCATTACTTATGACAATAAAATTTGGACAACATAACATCCCCGTCATAAATATATTCATATTATCATTTCATCCCTTGAATTCCCTTGTGCAGAGTGTGACCTCATTACCGCTATAGACAGACTTACGGATTTCATTTAACTAATGCTGCCCTTTCACCCTTCGGATGGATGAAAGAGATGATTTATCACTTTGTGTACCCTTTTGCTACACATCTTTTGGCAAGAATGGAGGTACACACCATCAATCTCTTTGGTTATCTCTCAATTTTATTTCATGAGGAAAAAAAAAACGCGCTGGAAGGGATTTGGAAAACGTAGTAAAACTTAGCGAAAGTGAACAACTTGTGGGCCTAGGTTAGGAAATACCACAAAAAAAATGTGAAGGGCCTACCCATCCGGTCTGCCAGAGACACTCCCAGATGCGGGCCTTTGTAAGATGGCATCATTTCCAGTGATAGCCAGGCCTGTTAGCGCACACACACACAAAGAAATTTTAAGAAGTCCTGCCTCTGTCCTTTGGGAAGATTGAAGACACAAGAGAACACAGGCCTATCCATACTGATGTCAAGGTGGTTTGCAAGAGAAAAGAGCCAGTCATCTGAGGCAGCCGCCCAAATCAGACACAGCACGTTTTTAGGCCTCGTTTGGGTAATCAAGCCTCTACTCTTTCTTGTAAGTAACCTCTGTGAAAAAGTTAAAAAAAAAAAAAAGTATACTACCAAGTATAAATTCTCTGTTCTTAACATTTAAAACATCTGTAACATTTCACTATGTATAGTTTCAACTCTGAGCCTTCTGTAAGACAAGTAAGCATTCATTTGATCCTGTAGTTATTAAGGTCAGCTTACAGGTAAGCGTGTGTTGTAGTCTGTGGATAGGTACCGACGAATCCTGGAGTCAAAAATGTGACTAAGGAGGTAAATTGGAGGCAGTTAAAGATTTTAATTCAGAAGATGCAAACAACATTAATAGTCACTCAACAGTTGTCATTCTTGCCTGCATGCCTAGGCGTCTGGATTCCAATGCCCTAGTTTGTGACTGTGACTTAATGTGGCTGGGGGAACTTATGCAAGGCTATGCCCAAAATGGCCAAACTCAGGCTGCTGCTACATGTCAATATCCCAGAAGGCTCCAGGGACGCTCCATTGCTTCCGTAACCGTGGAGGAGTTCAACTGTGGTACGTAATTTTCTCTGTGCGTGGAAAACAGAGTTGTCTTTTGTTTGCCTTTTCTATAAAGGTTTTATTAATACAATACATATCAATTAATTAATACAATTAATTAATTAATTAATACAATACAATTAATACAATACATATTAATACAATGTTGCATTTAAAAGAGCATAATATCAAAAGATGCTATTAAGAGGTTTAGTTAAAAGTATGGTCAATTTCTGTTTCATTATCTGCATTTTCGCCTAAGGGAGTTTTTATCATCATAAACAGAGCTGGGAAAGTCCTTGAGGACCATTTAATCCAACTTTCAAATTTCCTCAAATATTGAGGAAAACTGTCTTTCAACAAGGTCACAGGACACTGTGACCGGCATTAAAGTTTCCACTTATTCCTCAGCATCACTTAGTGCTAATGATTAATAATTGAGGTTTTTCAGGGGTGCCTGGGTGGCTCAGTCGGTTGAGCCCCGACTTCAGCTCGGGTCATGATCTCACGGTTTGTGAGTTCGAGCCCCGCCTCGGGCTCCGTGCTGACAGCTCGGAGCCTGGAGCCTGCTTTGGATTCTCTGTCTCTTTCTGCCCCTCCCCCACCTGTGCTCTGTCTCTCTCAAAAATAAGTAAATGTAAAACTTTCTAAAAAACAAAAAAAAAAATAAATAATTGCGGTTTTTCAACTTTAGATCAAATGGTTATTAGTATTCACAATATTAATGCAAACTTTGGATTTGATGAACATAGCTCATATACTGGCAGCTTTGATAAGGCTATCAGCCTTTACTTGAAGATCCAAGTACAGCTTCTTAGAATATTATTTGGTTCTCACCTCAAGCTTTTACTATAAATAAGATGATACCTACCTATGTATCTATCTAATCTATATTTATATATAGCTTTATTTTTTTATTTATTTATTTTTTATTAAAAATTTTTTTTTCAACGTTTATTTATTTTTGGGACAGAGAGAGACAGAGCATGAACGGGGGAGGGGCAGAGAGAGAGGGAGACACAGAATCGGAAACAGGCTCCCGGCTCCGAGCCATCAGCCCAGAGCCCGACGCGGGGCTCGAACTCACGGACCGCGAGATCGTGACCTGGCTGAAGTCGGACGCTTAACCGACTGCGCCACCCAGGCGCCCCTATATATAGCTTTAAATATGAATAGCTGAATGTACATACATACGTGTGCATGTGTGTGATAATCGGACTCCTTGGAGATTTAGTCACGTGAGAGCTTACAGCAGACATTTTCTTTCTAAAGTCCCATTCACCGGAGGCCAAGTTTTTTTAACTTCTCTCAGCAGGTTATTTGGAAAATTATATCAATATGATCTAATTCCATCCAGATTGAGAAGAAATGTAACTTGGTCTTTATTTCCAAATAAATCGCAAATTGGTCCATACTTTCCATCTTTACTCCCAACTTCAAGTTTATGTTGTGGTCCAGTTTGCCTGGAATACAGTACATCTTTTTTTAAATTTTTTTTTTTTCAACGTTTATTTATTTTTGGGACAGAGAGAGACAGAGCATGAACGGGGGAGGGGCAGAGAGAGAGGGAGACACAGAATCGGAAACAGGCTCCGGGCTCCCAGCCATCAGCCCAGAGCCCGACGCGGGGCTTGAACTCACGGACCGCGAGATCGTGACCTGGCTGAAGTCGGACGCTTAACCGACTGCGCCACCCAGGCGCCCCTGGAATACAGTACATCTTAACTGGTGTCCTGGCTTTCATTTTCCTCCCTCTCCAATCTTTTATATTTGGGGAGATCTTTTAAAATACCTATCTGATGATATAGTCCTTTTTGCTCTGACTCTTTTATAGCTGCCCACACCTGAAAATGAAACACGAAATCCTGAACAAGGCCACACTTCCTGTATGTTGTATCCTCTGGCTCCTCTCTGTATCCTTGATCCAGCCTTCCTGTCCGTTTGCTCAGCGAGGTTTACCCGTCACGATGGGCTTGAAGTTCCTAAAAGTTCTTAAGCTTTTTTCCAAATCAAGGGCTGTCTGCATGCTTTTTACTCTGTCTACAGTATTCGTCTTGCACGTCTCCTTATAATAGCCCTCTTCTTAAATATGAATTACTTAGAAAGGCTTTATTTAATCTCGCTTTCTACCCACCTTCTCCCTATCACACACACACTGAGTCAAGTCCCTTTTTATAGTCTATCTATCAAATCACCATTTATTTTTCTTAGCACTTATCACAACATATTATTATACATTTTTGTGTTTGTTTAATTTCAGTTGTTTTCAGTGAAATGATAAACCTATGATTACAGAAATTTTGTTTTGATCACTGTTTCATTACTGGTCTTAGCATTGGGCCTGACATACTGTAATGTTGAATTTTTTTTTTTCATAAATATATAGATGAATCAAACTACTTTTCCAAAAAGGGTAAGGCCAAGTGTTGATCATATGGACTTTTGATGAAGTGGTTAAGATTGGGACTTGTATAACATTCTTCAGACATATTAGATCTGGTTATTTGTTAAGGACTGACAATCTCAAATCATGTACTTATGAAAAGAAGAGTTTTATCATTTAGAAAGGTTTAGAAAAAGTTGTTAAGTTTGCCATAGAAAAGTGAAATTCCCTGTCTAACATTTTTCTCTCATAATTTAACTTCAATAATCTTATTTGATTCATTCAAAATCAATCTTTCTTATTAAAATAATTTAAATGTTTCCGTGTTTTACCTCTAATTATTACTTGAGAAGGGAAACATTCATTTATATTAATAAGGAATTTTGCTCAGCCAGGTTTGAGGTCTAGACATACAAATTCTTATAAATTGTATAAAGTGGACGTTAGATGGCTAATTGTCTAGGAAGGCTGCCTACAAATTTCAAGCTCAATTGAAGTACTTGGCTTGAAATATCGACCCATAAAATCAAACTTCTTCCATAAATATGGTTGTATTGAACTACTAGAAATAAAAGCACAGGGAAATTTATTTCATTTACTTCATTAGAGATTCCTTTATGCACCGAATCTTTCAAATTTCTGAAGTTTTGTTAAATATATGTCTAATGTCTAAACTGGCATATTACTGGGTAACTGCAAGACAATCTGTAAAACTTTAATGTAGACGGATATTAAATATTCTCAATCTTAGGATACTGTAATTTTGTGTCTTTAAAAATACACCAATAATTCTTTTGTCACAGAGAGTCCCCGAATTACTTTTGAGCCCCAGGATGTGGAGGTAACATCAGGGAATACTGTCTACTTCACTTGCCGAGCGGAAGGAAACCCCAAACCGAAGATTACTTGGATACACAACAAGTAAATATTAAGCATGGATGTGTGTTGTATTCTCTTTCCAATTTCGTTAACCCATTTATCTTGTTTCAACTAGTTTATCTAGAGATGAAATTTCCCAAATTATCAGAATTTCTTAGAGACAAAAACGTCTTTTAGCATTCATCTTTTGACTTGTCCAAATTATCTGGAGGCTTTTTAAAATTTATATTTCTAGACGTTAATGATTGTGAAATTGACTAAAGGGATTTTGTATTATTTCTAGAAGGAAGTAGTGGGATAATAATAAACTAGCGTGTTTTAAAATCTGAACATAATTAGATGTAACCTCATCTTAATTATTTTAGTTGCAAACTGACATTTTACATTTGGTGTTGCAAATTTCACACGATAAATCTGTATAACGTGATGTAAGTGAATTGGCAATAAAGGATATACAAGATTATTTAAAATACTAGTTATTTCTTTTATTCTCATTGCACTATTTGATAAAACGTGGTATGTATCAATCTAAAAGTCTGAATATAAAATTAAATAGCAATAACAAACTTAAAAAATTAAACATCTAAAGAACGAGTGGGAAAGTGATATGAAATAGATACATAGAATGAACTACATGTTTGATACAATTCAGTCACAGGACTTGGATAATTATATTTTCATTAATTACATTATTGGTACCTAGCATGCCTCGCACGTGTCCTTCCCAGGCTTGCACAAAATCTCATTGTTTTCTGTCGTGTGTATAATCAACACTATATTTTTATGCTTTTCTTCACAAAATATTCTGATATTAAAATAGTTTGTGTCTTTTCTGTATATAATTTGAATTTGTAATTTTAGTAAGAAACCCAGACATGTTTGTAAAATGTGTTTTTAATTCTTGCAGAAAACTAATAAGTGTAGGTTAAAAATAGCTTGGAAAGAAGGCAATTATGAACACTATTAAATTTGGAATCTGGCCCAGGAGAAAGACTTCAACTGATAGAAGACTTCAATTTATTTCCATCTGGAGATTGTTCAAGGGTACTTGAGAAATAGAAATTGCTGCTTGTCATGTCTTCAGACTGCTTGCTCTGCCTTCTTACAGTTTAAATTCAGTCATTATGTTTTCAAGGTTATAAAGGCACTGAAATAGTATTTAGAAAGGGACAAGTGAAATCCTGTTGCCTGATGGAATGTATGGCATAAGGGTTTTAAATATGGTGACTGAAGAAACTAAGATGCATTTAAAAGGAAACAGAGAAATGGAAAAAGAAGGAATAAAATGAAGGAAAGGTAAAGTGTAGGCAGAAATTTCTGTTACTGTATTAACCATTTTGCATAGAAAAAAAGTAGAGGTGAAAGGGAAGAGCTGATACCAAGCAATATTTAACATCACCAAATCTTAACTCATCCATTATTTGTCGTTGAGTATTTTTTTAAATAGAAAGATAACATATAGACTGAAAGTGCATGAAACTTAAAGTCTAGTAGAGCAGATAATTTGAAACAAACATCTATTTAACATAAACCAAGCTAAGGAAAAAAAAATACAGCCAATTCATTAGAAGCTACCTAGGTGTCCCTTCATTAACACTCTCTTTTTTCCTCCCCCTAGAGTCCTCTATCCTGACTTTAGGGTCCATAGAGCAGTGTGTTAAGAACTGATTAGACACGAGCAAAGGTAGAATTAGAGAATTAGAAGGTACGTTTGTTGGAGTAAATTAGCTTTCCGGATGGTTAAGAAACACAGAGACTATAATTCAAAGGCCCAGGACATATCCAGTAGGAGTTCCAGAAAGATAGGTTAGAAATAATGAGCTGGAGTCAATGTTTAGAGAAGTAATAATGAGGACTCTTTCATAAATGAAAAAAATCATGAGATTTCAGAATAAGAACTGTACTGATTCCCACCCAGGGCTTAAAAAAGAAATCTATACCTGGCGCGTTATGATCAGAAAGTTGAAAGAGATAAAACCTTTCATTCCAAGATAATTTTCAGATTACCTTCAAATGCATAGCGATTACACTGACAGTTAACTGTACATGGCTAGAAGGCAATCGCATATATTGAAATGGTTGAAGAAGAGAAAATCTAGTTTCCTTCTGTTTTATATTCAGCTAAATTATCTGACAAGTAAAATGAAGACATTTGCAAAGAGTTGAGCCTTACTTGCGGATATTTGCTAAAAGTAATACAAGTTAGAGAGATGTGATATGCAAGAAGTAAAAGTAAAAAGCAATGTATTTTTTTTCATTTTTTTTTAATGTTCATTTATTTTTGAGAGACAGAGAGACAGCATGAGCGGGAGAGGGCAGAGAGAGAGGGAGACCCAGAATCTGAAGCAGGCTCCAGGCTCTGAGCCGTGGGCACAGAGTCCAATGCGGGGCTCAAACTCAGGATCCGTGAGATCATGAGCTGAGCCGAAGTCGGACGCTCAACCGACTGAGCCACGCAGGCGCCCCAAAAGCAATGTATTTTTAAACATGTTGATAAATATGAATAAATTGAGATTGTTAAAGTATTGGCCAACTTTAAAGTAAGAGAGAAGTAAAATGTTAGATGATACGAATAAAAATATTGTAAGGAGAGAGGACATAATTAAATCATTTCCATGTCTCATTTTTGAGGTGTAGAATGATATTAACTTTGGATTTAGAGAAGTCAGGAAGACCTGGTAACAATTATGGTAAAATACTAAGAAACATGAAGAAATACAACTATTCATGCTTAGAGAAAGGAAAGAGTGATTAAAGAAAACTGGACCAGTCGACAAAAGGCAGGGAGAGATAGAATTAAGACAAAGGCAAGGCAGAGGAAAGAGAAAATGAACAAAATATCTCATCAGAAATAAGTTTAAATACATTAGTAAAAACAATACATGTACAGATTAAATAGCCTTTTGAAAGACATTGTAAGATTGGATTGAAAAATTCAGCTGTGTGCTATTTACGTTTATCTAAAACGTGATACTGGGAGGGATTACATGGGTGAACATATAACAGCAACGTTGTGTTAATCAAAATAAAGGTGCTATATCAATATTAATATCAACCAAAATAAATTTCAAGAAAAAAAGATAATTGCATATGATTAGTAATTGCATATCATTAGATCACAGTGATAAGAGCAGCAATTCACTTGGATATGAGAACCATTTTTGATGTAAGTTTGGGAGATTCTTTAGGCTTCTCAGGAGGAGAGTAAAGTGATTACCAGTACCTAGAAATAACAATCAAAATAATATTTTGATAAATGATTGATTGAATTCAAAGAGGAGGGAAACCGTTCCAGCTGGAAGAGGGAGTAAAGGCACAGGATAGAAATTGCTGGTAGGATTCAGGAAAGAGGGTGCATCGTATTTGTTGGGATGAAGGTTTTGCTTATGAAAGTAATAGAAAAATGTGAAAATTAACTGGAAGGCTGATGACTTTGGCTTTTCCTTTATAATCTCGGAGTGCCACTGGAAGATGTTGAGCGAGATAGTCACGTGACTAAAGAGGTTTCTAAACCAGCCATGCTTTTGAAGATAATTTAAATTTGTGGGCATGCATGGTAACTTACTTATCTTTCTATTTCTGGTACCTAGCCACAGAGCCTAGTTCTTAGAAAGCACTTTGTAAATGCTTATTGCAATGAATTGCCTTTAATAAATCAAACCTGTTTGTCGGCACATTTGCAAGGAAAACAAAAATCTAAGAACATTCTACTTGTGCGCACCTTTGTGTTTTTACATATGATTGCTACTTGGTTTGACAATGTGATACGTATATTGAGACATGAAGACCTGCTTTGAATTTTTGAAGGAACAGCATGATTCGTGAGCAAACAATTTTTATCAGCAAACAGAGAAATAACCAGGGAAAGGGATTGGTGCGTTGTAAATGCATGGGTTTGATGTGCTGGGTGTAATTTTTTTGGTTTTATACCATTTGGTTTTTGTGGGTTTAATTTTTTTGGTTTTATACCATTT